TTTATCCTCTCATTAGAAAAAACATTCCTTCTATTCTATTTGTGTTTCTTTCAACTAGAAGATTGTCTGAGTAAAGCATTATGTACTTCAAGCTGCAATTGTGACTTTAAACATCATTTAACTCCAGGCAGCCACCAAGCCCTAGGCACCCACTCTCTCCCTCTCCCACCAGCAGGATGAGGGAGTGAATTGGAAGGGTAAAAGCCTGAAAACCCATGGGTTGAGATAAAGACAGTTTAACAGGGAAACCAGAAGCCACACACAGAAGCAAAGCAAAACAAGGAATGAATTCCCTGCTTTCCCATGGGCAGGCAGCTGTTCAGTCATCTCCAGGAGAGCAGGGCCCCATCACATGTTTCTTGTGAAGACAAACACCATCACTCCAAATGTGCCCCCTTGCTCTCCTCCTCACTTTATATTCTGAGCATGATGTCACATGGTCTGGAATATCCCTTTGGTCAGTTGGGCTCACCTGTCCAGGCTGTGTCTCCTTCCACTCTTCCAGACCCCCCCAACTTGCTCCAGTGTGGCACCACAAAAAGCAGAAAAGGTCTTGGCTCTGTGTAAGCCCTGCTCAGCAATAACAAAAACATCTGCATTATCTGTACCGTATGTAGAGTACAAATCCAAAACACAGCCCCATACAGCCTCTGTGAAGAAAATTACATCTATCCCAGCTACAACTGCCACAATTTAAAATGCTGATTTATTCAATAGCAAAGACAGAAATTGGCCTGACAGCAAATAATAACAAAAATGTGGCAGTGAACATTACACTGGAAATGGTAAATAATAGAAAATTGCAATATGTGCTGATAGCAGCAGCGTCACTCTGCAAAAGTGGCTCAGAGCTGGGAATACAAGCTGTGAAATACAGCTTAGTCTTAACAGCAGTGCAAAATGTTCCTGATAAATGGTGGCAGATACCTCAAAAGTATGTCACTTCAGAAGACAATTAAGATTTGGTTCTTCTCATTCCTGTGGTACTCGAGATCTCAGTTTAAATTTCCTGAATAGCTGCTTGCTTGTCCTATTTTCTAAAATAACATATTTGCATAACTGATCAACTTGACATTCAGAGTTTGGAGGACTGGGATGTTCCTGTAATGGCAGGGCCTCTTCTGTGCTTCTGCAGAAATAAAAAATCACTATGGGTGAGATATTGTAGTTCTCATGGAATGGCTCTTCCATTAACAGAAGCACTTGTTCTTCAGAATTCAGGAGGAGAAATAAAGGCTGCCTGAGAGATACAAATAAACTAAAAAAACCCAAGTAAATTATTTAACATAGCTTGTATGAAGGCATGCCAGAAGATACAGAATCTGAAAAAAAAAACAATAAACCAGCAACACTTGAGAGTTTATATCTCCAGAGTGGTTCTCCAGCTTTTAAATTTTGTTCCTCCTGAGCAATAATGCTCAGATTTTGATTTGCCTCTGAGAGTCAACTTCCACGTCCTTCAAATAAAGTCATTGTTATGGGTTTTTGGGGAGTTTGGATTTGGTAGGAGCTTTTTTTCTGTTGTGGATTTTCAAAAAAAATTTTTTTTGCTTTTTTTTTTTTTTTTTTTTTTTGAGGCAGCTTCTTTTCAAGTGAAGATTTTATAAGCAACTGAAACAAAGCAGTAATAAACCTCTACCACTTGCAGCAGAGTACAGCAGCCCATCTGCATAGCAGGACCGAGAACCAAGATAGAGCTCTTGGCAAGCTGGAGGTGAGTTAGGAGGATGGGGCAAAGAAAAAAATGGGATAAAGCTTTCACTCATATCCCAATGCAGGTGAATGAAACTGAAAATTGTTACATTTTCTAGCAGGCCAAAGACACAACTGCTGACAATGTTTTGGACTAACCCATTCTTTATTTGCTACCATTGTAAACATCTCTATTACATAGACATCACAGTATACGTTATTGCTTTTATATTGTGGTAAACAGGAATTCCTATTAGTACGCAGCTATCTAAGCACAGTGTAAGAAGAAACTGCCCACAAGTTTTCTTGGGCTGGGTTGTTTTTAATTCCCTAGAGAAAGACAGGATCTAGGCTGGCAAGAGAAACATCAGTCCAAAGATGGGTCACCATGGTGCTACAACAACACAAACAGGAATGACAGAAGGAAAGCACAGGCTACATCTTCACCACATCACTAGCAGTATTGTCAAGGATACTGACTGCTCAACTCTCACCTAACTAAACATAAACCTTTTCATCATAATTCCTAAAAAAAAGGCTAAATAATTTCTTTTGTGAAATTTTATTTAAACTAGGATGGAAAACCTGGAAAACCAATGGAGCTGTGTATGTGTTTAATTTTTGTTGCATTTCTGTTTTGTTTTTAAAGACTGAAAGTCTGAAACTATTTACCTGGGATGTTTAAATTGGCCCCTTTTACTATTGCCCTTTAGAACAAAATGTCCTATTCTTTACATGGCTGTATCAGATGACTGAAACACAACCAGTTTAAAAAGATTGTTTCTTTCTTCCTATTGTAGCACTGTCTTCAGATGGCTTTCCAATCAAGTTAATTACTTCTGAAACAGTATGTTTACTTAGTAAAAGACTAGATTTTTACATTTGCTTGTAGTAAACTTCTGGTTATCTCCAGATTAATTTGTTCATAGAGTGGCACCATGTTTCAAGCATACACTAAACAACAAAAGTGAAAGTAGTTTGTTGAACACTTGCTACAGGAACAACAACAAATTTAGAAAATTTGTCTCCAGTTTTAAATTTTTTAAATACTATTGCATACAAGCTTTCACATAGTGAATGTTATAAAGAGGCAGCAAGTTAGAAAACTAACAGCACTTGCAAGTTGTAATAAGAGAATATGTATTTAAAACATGATAGTTAATAAATAATTTACTGAGTTTATAAGAGTCTTAGAATAACCTGTAAGGAACAAATTCTGATGGTCAAGATGATATCAACTTGCAGAAAAGTGGCCTACCTCCATTTCCAGTCTTCCATAACCTTAGGATTGTCACCTTACAACAGAGTTACCATAAAATACCACTGACTAGTAAAGCATTGTTCTTGCCTTCTCTAAACACATTTTTACCTATTTCAATAAGTTTTCTAGCTACCACCATAATACAGTTAACGTACCAGGGGTGCAAACAGGGACAGCCAGTATTAGTCTACATATAGTGAGTGACTCCTAGACAGAATTACTGGGCTAGTTGATCATACAAAACCACATGCAAATTCTAACTGTTTCCTAGGAAGGTGCACTGGAGCCTAACATAAACATTGACCTTAATTATTACATGCAAACTAATGTATTCCCTTATGTCTCACTCATAATGATGTCTGGGTTTACTGCTAGTTTACTTCCCACATCACCCATTGATTTAAGAGGAAAAGAAACTAGCAAAGATGCATCTTACTAAAAGCTTGAACTACATTTGACACCAAAACATCTCAGGTGTGTGATAGGAACCCTGAGACTCTATGGTTGGGCTTTAGAAGCCTCAGCAATAAGTAAATGTCAGTCTCCCAGTGAACAAAGAGCCCAGTGAAAGTTTCAGTGCTGGAAAGACAAGGGTGTAGATTGCTTTTGCAACTGCTGGAATAGAAAAAAGAAAAAAGAAAAAAGAAAAAAGAAAAAAGAAAAAAGAAAAAAGAAAAAAGAAAAAAGAAAAAAGAAAAAAGAAAAAAGAAAAANAAAAAAGAAAAAAGAAAAAAGAAAAAAGAAAAAAGAAAAAAGAAAAAAGAAAAAAGAAAAAAGAAAAAAGAAAAAGTAAAAGAAAAAAAGCTTGCAGACATAACTCAAGGGAGCCTTTAGAGATGGCTCAAACAATTTTATAACTAGCTGGCAGGCAGTAGATGGAAACAAATAACATCTTCCTTTGCTGCTGCTGCCAAACATAATTGGGATCACTTCTGGAATTCAAAAAGTCAGTCATGTTGCTTGCAAAGGAGATCTACAAACAGTAGAGAAAGTTACTAATGAAGACAAACTCAAAAGAAGACAGGGCTAGAAAGTAACCGGTTGGGTCACTTTCCACTCCCTTCCTTGGATTTTTGGCGTGTCCAGAGTCTGCAAAGCTCAGAGAAACAGAGCTGCACCACAGGACCTGAATCCCAGAATGCTCTCCACAGGACCTCAGCTCTTCATTGGTGAGTATTCCAGAATCCACGTACAGGGGATAGCAAAAGAACTGGGCATCCCATTGTCAGTTTGGATCTAATCTCATCAGTTCAACTATTCAGTTAACAAGCCAGGGCAAACCATAAATACTCTCCCTGTGCGCATCCTCACAGTGTTGGTTTTGTTGGTTTTTTTGAGTTTTTTTTTTTATATTGGTAGTACAGCATCAATCCAACAGAGGTGAGACTGAACCCTTCCACATCCTGAACACATTCAACTTGTCTGACCCTTGTTTGTACCTAAGGTATCATAAAAAGGAAAGAGAACTGTGTTACCCCATACATATATACTGTGTACCCTGATCAGGAGCCTCCCCACAAGCAAGAGATCCCTGCATTCAAGGGATCAAGAGCACAAGGGTGGATGCAGTGCAACAAGTCACTACTTACACAGAATTATGGGGGTGGGAAGGGACCTCTGGGGATCACCAAATCCAATCCCCTGCCTAAGCACAGCCCCTTAAAGAAGGGTGCTTAGGGCTATGTCCAGGTAGGTTTTGATGATCTCCAAGAAATGCAGTATTACATATTATATTTCATACTTATGTAGTGTAATAACACTCATTACAAACAGGGGTTGTCTTTTTTTTTTCTTTTCCATTTTTTTCCTCATGCTTCCATTCATTGTGTTCAATGCTTATATTCTTCAGGAATTGTTCTGGAGTAGTCATTGACTAGAAATTAACTAGTTACCTGAGATGTTTAAAAAAAGATATATGAAAGCTTGTATCAACATACACATTTTGTGCCACTGTAACCTATTTAGGTATAAGGTGAAAAAATATTTCTCAAATTACTCAAGTTTCTAAGGCTGTGATCTAGTTAGAAGAATCAAAATAAAAAGCTGGTTGAAAACAGCAGAAGGCACTTATTTAATAGAAGGTTTTAGAAAACAAAGTGATGGTCATACCAAATCCATTTAAAGTTGCTCTAAGCAATAATTAGTCACAATATAGACATGAAGTTCTATCTATTAGATTGTCTGAGGATGGCAAGACTAAGGAACACATCAGAGTTGCATCCCTTCCAAGGAAAATACATTTTTTTAGACTTGTACTCAGATGTGAAGTTATTTTTACAAAATAAGGATTGCAGCTGCAATAAAGGGTTTTTTTATAAATTTATAAAAAGGCTAAAGTAAATCTCTTGTACCTCCCACTAAGAATACCCCTTTAGCTGCTAAAGGAAAGGGCTGACAACAGATTCTGAGTCAATCATCCTCATCATGTGAAGTCAGATTAAAAAGAATCAGAAGTTTTTACAATAGGAATACTTTCAGAAAGAGTAGCTTTAGCCTGAGGATCTTATCCGCATGCTGATGACACATGGTTCTTTTTGTTTGTTTGCAAACTGAACTTGTTCCAAGCATAGGAACTGTCTGGTACAAATCCATAAACTTCCTTTCTAGAAGCAATTTCTAGTAAGTACTAGAATACAATTAAGTACAATATGCTGATGGATTAAGCCTCTTTTCCAAAATTATAACCAAATAATACATTCCTTTTGAGGACCTCTTAATAACAAAGAAATTTAACATTGTTGACTGAACTATCAATGACATATAAAGGAATAAGAACACAAAAAATCTAAACCCACAATAATTTCAACTAAAATCTGAACTTCAACCATTACATTAAAAGGTTGTAATTTAAATTCAAATTTCAAAAGTTGAATTTAAACTGTCTTTTAAAAGACCATTAACAGTCAAACCCATTCACAGAAAATATGGTGCAGCATAAATACATGCTTCATGTTTCTGCACCAAGAAATAGAAAAGAAAATGCAAAACAACAATCCAGAGGTTCTTGAGATTTGTGGGTTGCTTTTTGTGTTGGTTTGTTGGTTGGGTTTTGTTTCACTTCTTTTTCAAAAAGCTGCCCTTTGGAGAATAGCATAAAAATACCTGTAAACAGAGGTTGATTGTCCAAGCTTTCTTAACTGAATTTTGCTAATTTTCTTTTTTTTTTTTTAATTAAAAAAAAGTCCTATTTTTAGACAGTTTTTGGTGAAACACACAGAATTTCCATCCAAATGCATCACTCAATTTTTAATACAGCACCTCATATACTGCAGAGGAATTAAGGTTTCTTTGTATCTTGTAAGGTCAGTACCACACTGTAATCCAGCAGAAGTCCCTTAATTTTTTCGTGGAACTTCTCTCTGTACTGGTTGAAGTGCATAATGCTTTCTGGTTCCTCTTCAAACCAGAACTTGTCAAACTCATAAACTAGATAACCTGTGAAGAAAATAAAATACAGCCAGTCCTAGAGTGATCCTTTAGACTCTCTTCGACCCCTTAAAAGAAGAACTGTCCCTGTTCTGATCTACAGCAAGCTTTTGGATGCTGTAATAATAAATAAAAAAATAAATCTGCAAATACCGAGTTTTCAGACAGGAGTATCTAAAATATAGAAAGCCACAGAAATTATCCTTAAGTGTACATTTCTGCGGCACAATGTTTAAGCAGCAGGTGCGTTTCCAATACCTGATGCAGAAGACAAACAGGTTGCTCTGGCTAATGAGGAAAGAGTGGAAATGCACTCCAAAGAGCCCAAACTCTATGTTGTGGCCTACCCTGAGTACTAGAGCAGCTGTAGATACTTACAGTAAAACTGATGGAAGTGCTCCATCTGTGGCAACCCAGAGACCATGTTGTAGAGATGACCCTTTAAAGTACCATTCTTGAGCAAACTGTATGCCATTTCTGTCAGATTGATCCCAACTATGGCATAGGAGTATCTGCAACACAAATAATGGGTTTACATTATGGACTGAAAGACCTAAAAGGTTCCCTGGCACACTCTGCTTTAGGATAGCTGTGATAGTCCAATTTTTTCCTGTAACACTTGTTGATGAGCTGATTCCACTCTACAGACCATTCCCTGGTACATCCAACCACGTAAAAGTTATTGTAATATTGAGATGGCAAAGTCAATACTGACTTCAACTTATTCATTTGAAATCCTTAGATCTGCTGGAATATTAAAAATTGGATGTAAAAAACATTGTTGCAGTGTAAATGGAATGGCTATTTCAACCTGTTATTCAAGCTGAAAGAATCTGGTTTTCTGTTGCATGGTATAAAAAGTATTATAATATAAATTATTAAACAACAGTTAAAGTGTTTGTAGAGGAAGAAAAAGTAAAAGTTAATTATTTTGTGCCAATTATATACTTATGTAATTGAGCAAAAAATCGTATATATCCTGTTCATGACAGAGTTGCACAGGGTAATGTTATTTACACTCAAAGTCATGAAGGGCTCCTGTTTTTTGGTAGGTCATCAAGTGAACTAGGGGCTAGATGGATCAGATTATTATATCTGATTGGTTTGAGAGTATTATTTCCCTGTAAAATTAGCTAAATGCTTAAATATGCAAAGTTTTAGAAAACAAATTTAAAGTTGAACAAGCCACCTGTTTGTAAATGCTTATTACAGAGCCGAAACCTAGAGGGAAGAAAAGGACCTTAAGAGGTAATCTGTACTATCCCAACACAGGATCAGTAAGAAGATGAAAAACAAGTATGAATTTCTAAATCTAATCTAAGTCTAATATAAATAAAACTACAACGTTAAAGGCATTTACTATATTAAATAAGATATTTTGCAACATTTTTGTCCCAACAAATCTATTCTGAAAAAAAAAGTCTGCACTTAGTTCCCAGCTAGAAATTGCTTTCTGTGTTTGGTTTCTCACACTTTTCTATTTTGACCCTTTCTTTCATTCTTTAATGGAAAAAGCCCATGTGTATTTTCCTCTTTATTTTCTGGACACATGTTCAGCAGTCTTCATGTAAGTTTTTATATACAAGCAGCCAGAAAAAATTCTAGAGTTACTTACCCCAGCTTTGGGTGATTTGACCGAGAAAGGATCTGACGAGCTTCATTGGTGTAATGCTTACTAAAATACCTGGCAGTGTAAAATATTATTTTAAATTCTTCAGAAAAAAAAAAATACTGTGTTCATGTCAACATTAAAATCTGTAGCTTTAAACTAAAGGTGAAAACTAGCCTGGAAAATGGCACAAAATGTAAACCAAGGAAAAGGTAGCAAAATAAATTATATTCAGTGTGAACTAATACTGTAAAAAAACCCAAAACCATTATGATCTGGACATCAAATATGAAGTTCTACTTAGTCCAAAAGTTAGCTTACCAAAGATATGTAAACTTGTCTATTTTTCATTATAGTAGGAATTTTTACATTCAGGACTTTTTAAAGCTTTTGACAAGTTAGGTACAACCTACCAACTCTATCCTAAGGCAACAAAGCAATAAGGTGTCTTAGGCAAATTTCTGTCCCTTCCCTTACTTCTTGTCCTTACCCAATCACATCACATGGTTACAATGTGCAGCCACTAGAAATGTTGAACATACTACTTTCTATTTGCTTGTAATCAGTTTTTGTTAAAAATAGCATTAACTAGAGAAAATACAGATACTGAAAATTAGTTACAAAAAGAACAAAATACTTCTTTTCACTTACACCAGATTCACTAAGCCCAGCAGCCCCATTCCTCTGAAGTCTGTTTTGGGATCTTCGCCTTGGAAGCCAATGTCACACCACTGTTTACTGATTCTGGCCTTCAGGTTCTCGTGAGGCATCAGCAAATTCCAGAGCTGCACAAATATACTTCCATGTTATGCTGCTCAAGTATTCCAAGTCACATAATTCAGAACACTCGCTGCTGCACACTAGAAACCATTCACCAGGGAACAGGGTACAATCTGCATGCTGCTTTTTTCTGTTAGTGGCAATCTGGAGTCTGCTGCAATGGCTCACTTCAGCAATTATAGAAGTTATTACATTTAACATTAGATGTGGTAATTTCCCTTCACAGACAAAGATGCTGTATGAATACCAAAGAAACAAATACTTGTTTTACCTCAGAAATTAATTTATGCATCATTTTGTACTAAGACAGCTATAAACTGAAATATAAGCTCTCAATGAATACTCATTTAACATGTCAGTGTAAGGGCTTCCATAGCAAGCTGAGATAATTATGAAGTCCTAAGAAAATAGTTTTTATCTTCCAGCATCAAACCATCTTCCTTGACATTGACTGGGATACAGTAATAAGAAAAAATTAGTGTCTATTTTAGTAATTAGTAGTTTACAAAGTTAGATGTATGCATAAGGTTATAAATCTTTTTAGTAGTGATTCTTCAGTGACACAACACAAATCTCTTTTTCTACACATATATTGTTGTTATGTCTGATTTCACACAAAATAACTCCATTGCAAGTTACTCCAGTTTATTTTTTTTTCTTTGGGTTTTTATTTTAAGGTGTCGTTTTGTAATTTGCAGTTCTGCTTTGCAGTTTGTAAGTAGAAAAGAGCTTTAAATAGGCCAACTGGTAAGAATGCTACCAATAAATTCTTTTAAGGTGTTGGATTTGGAGGGGGGGGAAAGCCAAACAAACAGCACATGTATTTAAAAAATTATTTCACCTCAATTAACTGTTCCTCGTGTTCTTCATTTTCTGAATCATATGGGACCTTCCTTAGGTTTTCCACATTCAAATACAGTTTTTTATAACCTGATATCTGTAGCAAGGATATATGCAAATTTGTCTTAAACCTGAAATAATAACAAAACACCATAGAGAAGTTTTTAAATAGGCCTACTCAGCCCGAAATTACAGCTTGAATTACCTTTCCTATGTTAAAGCAATGTAAACAGCAGAATTAGGGAGTGCTTTATATGTATCTTTACAAACTACAGCATACTGGTTAAGTGCATAGTGGTTAAGTACATACTTTAACATCTTCACATCTTTAGCATCATTAAACATCTCTAGCTGATTCCAGTGCTGCAGTCAGACTCTGTTATCTTCAATTATGGGGG